ATATATATATATATATATATGTTAGCATTCTGATCACTGGTCACAAATTGATTCCCTCCGAGAGGCTTTTATCTAGTTGCCCTGCGTAGACTACCTTCCTCAAAAAGGCTTCGCGTGGTCTTACATACTACATCGACACAACTAGAACTTCCCTCCAATAGGTTGATCTCTAGTTGATCTCTAGTTGTACCGATTCCCCAACCACCTTCTTCAAAGAGGTTTCACGTGGTCGATACATAACATAACCACATATTTCATATAAAAAAATTTCGTGATAACTCACCTGAAGCAGCAAAACACAGGATAAAACCACTGAAGCGGCTAAGATGGATTTTCCAACTCCCTGAACACCTACAATCATATACGTAATCCTCACTTAACCTATATTTCAAGTGTTACTTAAATATTACACCATAATATACTTTTTATTCACTTTTTATTCAGATATTATAGGGTATGAATGATTCCAAACACATTCTTAGGTTTAAATACACCAAACACACACATAACCTAAAACCGAGGCTTACTTCTTGTTTTAGAAACTCGCACCCAACCAAACGTGTATTACATGATGTGTGTTATGCTTTTAACACTAAGACTTAGCTAATATCAAATTTCATGGATCAAAAGCATTCACAAAATGAAGCTCTTCGGTTTGAGAGTTTCCAGGACAAATTCAAATGCAAAGAGATGTTTTCTCTTGGTTCAAGGCATCAATACAAGGACAAATGGTTTAAGGGAGCCAAGTACTAGTCCTAGCAACCTCAAACAAGGTTTAACACATATCCATAATCCCAAATAAAAACCGAAGTCACACATTAACAAAAATCCCGACATATGAGTTCACAAGGAGGTTTCCAAGCATTTTGAGATGACTAATCTTTTTTTCAGAAGCACGATCTTGCTCCTAGGTGTCATAGGGAACTAGAAACGACCTTAATCATGGCTAGAACATGATAAACCCGCCAGCATAATATACAAAACAGAAAATCCCGTGAATAGTGAACACATGAATATTTTAATGTCTTTTGGGGTTGATTTCTTGATTCAAGGTATCTAAACTTGTTCCTAAGTGTCAAAGGGACATAATAACATCATTAGCAAGAAACAAACACGTCTAAAACTTGTTTAACTCGACTGTAAACAGCCGAGTATGCAGATCCCGCAAAAATCTCATTTTTCCGGCGGTTGGAGGCTGCCGGAGGCAGCTCCGGCCACCACAATGACGGGGAAAGGTCGTAGATGGTGTTAGGGACGTAATGAAGTACATACCGGCTTCTGAGTGACTTGGATGGTTGAAGAAAGGAGCCCAACAACTTCCTACTTCCCTTAAAACCCTAATTCGACACTTCTTGTTTTCTCTCGGTTTGAAGCTCAATAACGGAGAACGAAGCCCAACAGCTTCCTATTTCCCTTAAATCGTGAGTTGTTGGTCCGAACATGGTAAAAGATCACAGCCTGTAGCTGCGTTGTTTCTAATAGAGGATATAAGACGAGTTTCAGCAACTCGCAGAAATGGTCCCTGAACTTCGGCATACTTAGTCCCTTGAACCTTTATATTCAATTGATATTAAATAAATTGTTTTTTTTAATTATTATCATTATCATTATTATTAGTTTAACACCTTTATATCTATATAATGTCTTTATATTTAATTAATTCATTTGTCAAACCTACAAAAATTAGTTTTTAATTATATAAGTATTCGCATTATTTATTAACCTATTTCAAAATAATTAAATAGAAACTGGGCATTATATATTTTTTTTGAAAACATACGAAAATTAAATACATGATATTCTCTCTTGTTCTTGATCAATTTTTTGTGCTTAGAATTTTGATTGTTCCTTTAAGGATTATCCAAGGTCGAATTTTTTGTAACCTAGACAGGAAAGAAATATCAATTCTAAAAAATGAACCAACACGATACTTAAAAAATCTGGTGATTACATATTCTTTTTCAACCCTATTTTTAACAAGCAACACCATATCATGTTCATTATTCGGTTCAACTCCATGTATTTCTTGATCCTCAACATAACATTTATCCAAGTCAACTAACACCTCATTTTGTTGCAATATTGGTTATGTGTCACCAACATTTTCTTTCCATACTCTTTGTCTTCTAACCATAACTTCACTTTCATAAATTCCTTCACCGTCACCTTTCCTGTCACTTTCCAAATCATTCACATCTGGATCATAAATCGTTTGAGATTCATTGTTCATATCATTTCACTCAATGTTTATTCCTCTTTGCTTTTAAATTATGGAATCTACTAAGTAACCTCATTGAACTATATAGTATATATATAGTATAGATATGGCCTTCAATACATGCATGAAGAGTCTTATATATGATAGTAATGGAATTAGATTCAATGCACACTCTAGTGGAATAAAACTTATCTTCCTCATCTTAGTCAATACCACATTGAACTGAATTGCTTGAAACTTTCTTAAACTACTCCGAACTTCATGCCTTCAAAAGGAGACTGTCAATATGCATCTATATAAGTCTCTGTTTAGGAACAAAGTCACATAATCATGACCAATAAATAATTTCTAAAAACCAAGATTGAACTCCACCATGTGAATATAACTTTCGTGTTGAAGATACATCATCAAACTAAATCCCACAACCTTCCAACATACTTCAACTAACATCAATAAACCCCTCATGGAGATAAAGATTTATTCTTTAGGATTGGGATGGAAGTTTTCACCTTATTGCATAAAGTACTCATTTGGCTTCTAACATAAAAAACATCACCTGTTAATTCTAGAAAGGTCATAAAATCATCTTGGCTATTATCATTAGTATCAAACGTTTTTCCTTGATAGCGTCAAACTGTGAATGTAAGGATTTGTGCGGACAAGGTTTGAGAACCCAAGCCTTGAATTAACTTAAGATCAATCTCTGCTTGTAATGAAGATCTAGTCAAGTCTGGTAAACTAGTCTTGTCTCAAAAATAGAGATAATCAACAAAGTGCTCAAATATGGAAAAGTAGTAAGTAGAACAATGTAAAGTAATTCAAGAACAAGAAGAATGTAAGAGATAATAATTATTGATTAGAGTGAAAAAGATGCACACATCTCTACAATGATACAAGGAACTCACCTCCTTAAATAGATAAGGAGTAACTAAAAGATAAATATGATAAAGTGCGCATACTTCTGAAGATCAACAAATGTAACGCCCCAAAAATAAGACCCGAAAATCTTTCATTTTTAAATTGATAAAACAGTAAATCATATCATTTTCATAAAAACCAAAGTAATCAAAGTTTATCAATACATCATCATTATCAGAGTAATTCACAAAATGCGGAGAGTGGTGTGTGCTCTACAATCATCCCAGGCTCTTCCCTTTGAAATCAGAAGTACCTGAAACATAAACTGAAAATCGTAAGCACAAAGCTTAGTGAGTTCCCCAAAATACTACATATCATACATAAATAATCATATACATGCCCCGCCCAATGAGTGTATCGGGCCCCGCCCACACTCGCATAACGGGCCCCGCCCACTGAGTATAACAGGCCCCGCCCAAACTCATATAACGGGCCTCGTCCACTAAGTATAACGGGCCCACCCAAACTCATATAACGGGCCCGGCCCAACATACAAATCATATAAGCACATACACATACAAGAGTCACACAGACATCTAGCATCCTAGCATCACTGATCATGGGCTGACATTGGTGCCTTAGACCTGCTAAACATGGTGAGGAAACTCACCTCGCACTGTTGAATCCCACAGATAAATCTCTGGCTGCTGGCCCGCTAGAATCCCCGCGCTATCAATCACAAAATAAAATCCAATTAAAAATTGGATCCAGACTCACACTAAGAGTCCAAACTAGGGTAAAAGACATTTTTACCCTTTACCCAACTTGGCCCAAGGCCAAAGCCCAATCAAATTTTCCAAAGGCCCATTTTCCATAACAATCACTCAAAGCCCAAGCCTAATTTTTCAAATTGGGCCCAAATCCCTTTCATGGGCCTACAAACCAAGGAGTCCAATAAAATAGCAACAACCCAACAGGAGAATCCTGATAGCCCAACAAGGCTCAAGACATCAAAAGCCCAACCTAACCCAAAACCGAGAAGCCCACTACTGAGTACGTGGGGCGTACTTAGCTCGTACGCCCAACGTACTCGCTTAAGGGCTTGTATGTGCAGCGTACTTGCTTGTACGCCCAACGTACTCCACCATTTGGCCAACCTTCACTTTTTTGCTCTTAATCGATTAAGACATCAACCCAAACTCATATCTGACTTCCTTAAGGTGGTTTATCACGTAAAGTTGCCAACTTTACGTGCATGCATGGCTTAATGACGCTCTTAGAGCTCAAAAGAGCTTAACAAATGTCTTAACACATGCATGAGACCACAAATGACCTAAAGCTTGTATTTTTTATGGACAAAGGTACCAAAAGGGTCCTACATCTACCAACAAACACTTTTGGAGTGAAGCAAAAGGCTCAACAATCAAACCATGGACTTAAAGAGCATAAAATGGCACCAAACTAGATCTAGCATTATGGACTAGCAAGATGGAAACTTTTTACCTCACAAGGACATCAAATGAAGAGCTAATATCATATCTTCAAGCTCCAACCACAACTCCAAATGGTTCACTTCTTCTTCTTCTTCATAATGCACCAAAAATCACACTTTAAGGCTCAAACACTCAAGATCTCACTTAGGGTTCGATTTTTTGGACAAGAAGAGATGGAGGCTGACTAACATAACCTAGTGAGGCTATCACAAGGTTTAAATAGGGTGCAACACCCTAAAATTAGGGTTTCACTTAACCCCACGTACGCCCTGCGTACATGTTCGAAGGCGCGACCAAGCATCGGGCTAGTACGCTAAGTGTACCACCTTGTACGCCCCGCGTACTAGCCTTAAGGACCATTCTTGCAAACTTTTTCAATCATGGGTTAAATGTGTAACTTACAAATTTTCCAAGTGTTACAACAGAATGACACAGCCGTTGATGTTGATCTTGTCTCTTATACTATACTATAAAACAATAAGAGCATTAAAAACTAGTACTTACAACAATTAATGCATTACAGACTCAAAATACTTCTAAACATAAATGGATCTCAGACTAGTCTTCACTTCGGAACATCTTTACTTCGGAACACTTTCACTTAGGAATTCCTTAATCTCGGAAGTCTTCATCTCGGATTGCATAAGGATCACCTCTTCATGTTCCAACAATCTCCCCCTAAGTGACCTTAGCAATCTTTTGACTTGTCACTTGGCTTCATCAAACACAAACAGGTAAGCACTCTAGAGCCAACTTCGGACGTCAATGTACCATTAGAGATGCTCAATAATTTTTTTCTTGATGCGTTCGGAAGAATCACTCTTGGCAACATTTAAGATGAACTTTTGAAGAATATTGGTGGGAATGAGGTGTTTGTCAAGAACTCGGAAGAATTCTTTTCGATTAGTCTTTTTCTTGAGATATATATAACCAAGTTATGGTTCTTCAATAGGACATTCGGCTAAGATTTGAGCTTCAGGAAGCTAAGTGCTGATTTTGGCAAATAGATTTTCAGTTCCAAACAAGTGAGCAAATTCAACATTGGATCTACAATATTCAGCGATGTAGTCCTTTAAGAAGCTGATGGCAGCGTTGAAATCTTCGATGCTAGATTCATTTGATTGTCGATCTTTGAGGTGAGCAGCAATAATGTAAAGACCCAAATTTTTCAAAGAAAATTTTCATTTTTGATTAACCAAAACACTTTTCCATAAACCATGAAATCCAAATACAATTGTTTTCAAAATTTATATCAACTATAATTTTATTTGAATACATCAGAGTGTCCCATAAAACGCATGAGAGAGAGTGCACGCCGCATCATCAAGCCTTGCCCTTGCCCTTGGGCTCGGATGTACCTGAAACAATCCACAAACTGTAAGCTAATGCTTAGTGAGTCCCCCAGAGAAAACCCCACACACAATCCCTATAACACATATCAAATTAGCTACAAAAGCTACATATATCACATAAGACATGCATACAACATATAAGGAAGCCATTGAAACCCTCCAGGGTCTTACACCCAGTGCCATTGGAACCCCCACGTGGTCTTAACTGCTTGCCATGGGAACCCCCACATGGTCTTCCTAGCATGGGAACCCCCACATGGTCTTCCTGCCATGGGAACCCCCACATGATCTTCACTACCAAGCAACATATAATGTAAACTACACATACAAATATACTAGGATGCCACGGAAACCCTCCAAGGTCTTATACCAAATTCCACGGGAACCCTCGGGGTCTTCCATGCAAATGTCATACTAACATAACACATAATTAATCAACAATCCACATATCATAAAATGGGCCGGCCTTGGTGCCTTAGACCCATTGGTATGGTGAGTAGACTCACATCTCGAATGCTGAACTGAATAGCTAAAATCAAATGTATCCCACGCACTGCTCCTCCTTAACTGCCTATAACCAACATGTGATTAACTTGTCATAATCCCATGATTACCCTCAAAGCCAACCCTGGTCAAAGTCAAGGTCAACAGTCAAGGTCAATAGTCCATGTTGGCCTCAATTCGTCGAGTGCATCTTAGCAACTCGTCGAGTTCCTCCCGAGTCCATTCCATTGAATCCAGCATCAACTCATCGAGTCATCCTAGTGACTCATCGAGTTCATCAACTGTCCAGAAAACTAATGTCCGTTCAGACCAAAACCCTAATCCTCCACTGCACTCATCCAACAACTCAGAAACGGGCAAACCCTACCCCGACTCGTCGAGTCAGCTAAGGGACTCGACGAGTTCCTTCAGTCCCTTTCATGTTCAACCCTTTTTAGTGGCATCTAAGGTCCCAAACTTCAGATCCAACCTCCCCTAGTACAGATACCACGTAAAGTTGCAAACTTTACGTGCATGCAAGGCCCTCCAAGGCTATAACATCAAAACTAGG